GAGTGGCTCCGCCTCCGTCTGCCATCCTGTACATATAGCCTAAGCTGGAAAAGTGTAGGGACGTTTCCACACAAGTATGGCACGCTTCCGACATCAACCAGAAGTGATGTAAATACGCACCTCCAACGTTAACTGAAAATGATGTCAATACCCCCATCACACCTCCAACCTAAAACAGCCCTGTCCTTAATTTGTATACAGTAGGTATAGCGTAAATGCCAGCACCCCTTTTGTTTTGTCGTCAGACCCCCCCCCTCCCCCCCCCCAAGCGGGTAACACTAGCTTTCCTTCTGGGATCAGTTTAGCCAATTTATTTTTTTTTTTTCGTTTCTTTTTTCCCCCATCCATCTGGTTATCTCATAGTGATCTAGTACATGGAAATTATTGTTGTTATGAAATAACGGAAATTTGTTTTCAATACTTACTGTAATTTTCCTTTCCTGGCCTGTCCTCACGTCAGCACACTGTGGGTTAACTCCTCCTCTTGACCTCCCAGGACCACCTTCCCCTAGTTTATAAAAGAGGCCCAACCTTCCTCTCTATTCTATATTATAGCGGCAACAGGCCACTTAGGGAGGAAGAAAGTTGTGCTGATGTGAGGACAGGAAAGGAAAATTACGGTAAGTATTAAAAACAATTTTCCATTTTCCTGGCAGCCAGAACAATTTTCCGTTTTCAGTACACTGTGGCATATACTCTAGACAATTTAAGGTGAGAAAAGACAAAGCATAGATGCGACTCGAATTGCTGCTTCATTAAACTTTTAATTAGTTTGAAAAGGTGCTGAAACCACTGCTGCCCCAAATCTCGCTGAGCTGGTGGAGACTACGTCCAACTTATAGTGCCAGATGAAGGTCTCATATGCAGTAACTAGCTAGCTGTCCTGCGTATGTCCTTCATTTACACCTTCGTGACCGATACCCATGAGGCTGGTCGAATGAGGTCGTACAATCTGCAGAGGAGCAAGGCCCTGTTTGTATGCAAGGCTGATCCCTTTGGTGATCCAGGTCGCTATGACTCTTGCTGACACAGTTTCCCTTCTCGGGGGGTTGAGAATCTTGTTCCCAGCCTATGGCCTCCTTTACAGCTATAATATAAGGGCCATTGAGTTGAAACTCAAATAAATGTTTTGGGAAATCTTCTGACTCCAATGATGACCCTGTAGATGAATCCAGTATCAAGGATGGACTGAGCCATTGCTCAGGTGGGCTGTTAGGTTTGGGTTCGCTTTTGGAGCCACTTGCCCACTAACTGTATACTCTCAGCTACTGCTTTGTGGATGTAGTCTTTGACTCTAAGTGCCTCCACATCCTGATCTGCGACTGCATCTTTAATGCATTTGGTACATAAAAGTGGAAGGGGCTGCACAGGCCCAGCATAGACCCTCTGAGGGTCGACCTGTCTTTACATGTTCCATCGCTGGACATTTACTGTAGTGGGAGAGTGGCTTCTCTGGTTGGAGTGGGGCTTGGAGTGCAGAGATATTGAACAATAGTGGGACTTCGATTATGTTTTCTTAGAGATTCTGCTCCTAAAAATACCAGGCAACACGTCAAATCTGTGTGCAGCACTCTTTTACACTCTAGTCCCCCATAGCCCCCTCCTGCAGATCTTCGTGCCTCCTGTGGCTGTGGCGAGCTCATAACTACAAAAGAATAAAAAGAAAAGATAGGAAAGGCAGAACAGAAACCCTCTAGCTTCTTACTCTCCCTCATTTTTTTATGTGCTGCCCCTTTAAATCGTCTGCCATCTTACCTGACAGTTCTTGCAGACTCTCTTCAGTGTGGCAGCAGAGGGAGCTTCCAGATAAGAGGTAGCAAGTTAACAGTTCTTGCAGACTCTCTCCAGGTGGCAGCTGAGGGAGTTTTCCTATAAGAGATAGCAGGCTGGAAAAGAGTGATGTGAGAGACAGCAACAGATGGCACACAGAGGGCTGGGTAGCAGAAATCTACTGGTCTCCAGTTGCAGCCTTGACATTCGTCCCTGTTGCAGGCTTCTGGTTTTTGGCTTTGCCCGCTGCTGCTGTGCCACCCCGTGACATCAGCGCCGGAGCTAGAAAGAATGACCAGTGTGGCCTCCAGAGAGAGGAGCCAGGAGAAAACCAACGGAAGTGAGTGCTCTGCCACAGCCGTATACGCCCCTATTATGATATTTAGGCATTCTACGCCTGCAGCCCCGGCAACCAGGCATCCAGTGTTTACCTCTATCCTTCTGAACTTTCCAAATGTCAGGATAGGCTGAACCTGGGGGGGGAAAGGTTCGGTAGGTGGCTGCATCAGATCTGGTTCATGTGCAATATTTGTGGCCTGGTGACCAAAAAAACAAAATAGAACAGAGAGGAAGGGAGGGCCTCTTTTTTTTTTTCAAATAGATTTTTATTAGATTTTAGAACATTACAATAGAGAATGTCTAACAATAGACCAGAAAAGGATAACAGTTAGCATTAACATTAGTATGGTCCACATAGCATATGAAGATATATCTTACAGATGAAGATAAAAATAAGTCAGATAATACAAACAACAGCATCAATTACAGTGAACGTTTCCAGCAGAGTATGTTGCTACCAGGGAAAATCTCTCTCATGTGGAATAAGGATCATGTATCAAATTTATCAGATCAACTTAACCAAGGCTTCCATTGTTGCATGAATCTAGAAACCTTGTTGTTTCCTATAGCTAAGAGACGTTCATATTCAAAGTTTATTTTTAGAATCTGTATAGTCTCACAAGGGTTAGGTGTTTCTGAGATTTTCCAATTTCTAGTTATGGTGGATCTAGCTGCTAGTAGAATATGAGCGATAAATACATGAGAGAAGTGCGGTATATTGGAGATTCCTAGGTTTAACAGGGCAAGAGCAGGGTTAGGTTTCATACGTATCCCAGTAACTTCCAAGATAATTGCAAAGATCTTTTTCCAAAAGCTAGTGATAATTGCAAAGATCTTTTTCCAAAAGGTAGTGTACCTACAGACCCACAATCTCTCCAACACAGGGGGGAATGGAGTGAGCTAAATTTAGAAATTTGGTAAGGAGTATAGTACCAGCGTGTTATAATTTTCAAAGACATTTCCCAGTGATCTATACATAGTTACATGCTTAGTCTGACTGAAAAAAGACAAAAGTCCACCCAGTTCAACCATTAAGAAAAAAAAAAAAAAGCTAGATGTTTTGTATAGGGACCTAATAGCAGATTTCCAACTGGAGAATTTCACCGACAGGTCAGACTCCCATTGGAGCATAGCTGAGTGTTTGACAAATTCTAGTTTTCCCTGTAAGAAATTATAAAACAAGGATGTTGATTTAGTGGGAGTTCTGGTGGTCATTAAGGTAGACCAAGTCTACCTTATCTGAAACCCAGCTAATTTTAGAGGGTATAAGTGCGTAAAGTATGGGTAATTTGATGATACTGATATCTCTCCTTTTCTGAGAACTGAAATTCATTCTTCACCATTTCCCAAGTCTTAAGTGCATTAGAGGTATAGAGATTAGATATTTCTCAAAGGCCTTTCCCTGACCACAGCTGTGATGTGAAAAAATGGATAATAAACTCCATAAGTTTTAAAGGGAAAGGTAATGAAGAGATAGAAGCTGTAATATGGGAGTTAGTTAATAATTTTCTCCAGGCTAGCAGACTGCAGTGTATGGTGAGAGGGAAGGTACTCAGTTTCCAAGGTTTCCATCTATGAGAAAGAAGTGAGCAAGATGACTTCCAGGGACTAGCATAGATTCAAGTCTCACCCAAGGGCTGTCTGAGGTCTGGTCTGTGAAACCACTTTCTGATTTGATCTAAGTGAATAGCCGTGAAGTAGTCTACAAATTCAATAAAACCTGCTCCACCAGTATTTCGATGTCTACGGGCAATGGAGCTCGAGATTCTGGGTTTTTTGCCATCCCATAGGAAATGCTTGTAAAGTCTGGTTAGGGATGCTAAAATGTGGAGAGGAATTGTCAGCAGGAGGGTTATGAATACGTATAAAATCTGAGGTAAGATTCTCATTTTAAATGCAGCTGGTCTAGCCATCCCTGACAAACTGAATGTACGCAATCGAGCCAATTCTTCTGAGATTACCTTTATTAAAGGTTCATAGTTCAATTTAATTAGGGTATGTAGATTAGAGGATAGTATAATACCAAGATAGGGAATCCCACTATCTTTCCAAATGTATGGTAGTCTGGATTGCAGTTGGAATTTTTAGTGTCAGGGCTCCCAGGTGTGACCAGAGGTGTGTGGCTGACGCAGGGAAACGCAGACCTCAGATATGTTATAAACAATATAATTTATTAACACTAACAATACAAACATAAACGCAGTGCAATACTAAAACATAATACAGTGCAACCAAACCAAACCAACCACCCACAGATAACAGTACATACAAGCAAGCGTCGTCAGGCAGGCCAGGTCAATATCAATAGGGCAGGTAGGTACAGGGGGAGCAAGCGGAGAATGGTCGGGGTCACAGGCCAGGTTCAGCAGGTAGCAAGCAGCGTAGTACAGAGGGTAAGGCAGAGGGATGGTCAGGGTCACAAGCCAGGGATCAGAACAGGTAGCAAGCAGCGTAGTACAGAGGGTCAGGCAGAGGGATGGTCAGACAAGCCAGGGATCAGAGCAGGGTCAGCAGAGAATCAGACAGGAACAGAGAGCAGGAACAGGATACAGGGCCCAAGAGAACACAACACCAAGGCAGAGTCTGCAAGTCTGGCCATCCCTTAAACACCCCAGCATAATCAGTTCCAGGTGTTAGCTGGCTGCAAAGTTGAGTCTCTGATTGCTGGGAGCACCCGCTGGCCAGCCCTGGTACTGCATATCAAAAGGCAGGTGAGTCCTACCATTGCTGGCTAGTCCATTCCTGACATTTAGAGATTCAGAAGTGCCAAATATTTAAAATGAGGGACTTAAAGTGGAGCTCCACCCAAAAGGGGAAGTTCCGCTTTAAGGACTGCTCCCCCGCTCCCTATTAAAGATTGGCACCTTTGGGGGGCGGGGGGGAGCAAGTACCCAAATTTGACAGGTACCCGCTCCCATTTCTGGTCTGATCGCCTAGGCGATCGAAAACGGAGGGTGTCCTCCCTCCCTTCCTGTAGTCTTTTGGGACACGTGACAGGTCCCAGAAGACTACAGGACCATTCATGAAGCGCAGCGCTACTCGCGCATGCGCAGTGGGTACCCGGCTGTGAAGCCGCAAGCTGTCACAGCCGGGTGCCCACACTGAAGAAGTCGGCCTCCAGGAATACAGAACGGCCGGTGAAACGGGCTGCGGGGAAGACACCGTTGGACCGAGGGACAAGTAAGTGGCTGTTTTTTTAAAAGTCAGCAGCTACAGTTTTTGTAGCTGCTGACTTTTCTATTTTTTGACAGGTGAGTGGAACTCCACTTTAAAGAAAGTTACCTTATAGTAAGATACGGCACAAAATGATTCCAATACTTCATGCACAGAAGGGAGTGATTGGAGGGGGTTAGTCAATAATAGAATTATATCGTCAGCAAATAGCTGAATGGTATACTGTTGTTTTCCAATGTCTATGCCCGAGATATCTGGGTGCGATTGGTTCATTTCGGCTAGCGGTTCAATAAGTAAATTGAATATTATAATATATATTTAATTATATTTGTACTTAAAAATGTTTTTGATAACATTTCTGATATATACTTGCGCAGAGGGGTTGGGATACAGGGCATGGATAGTCTGATATATTAGGGAGGGCCTCTTTTTTATAACGTATGGAAAGGTGGTCCTGGGGGGGTCAGGAGGAGGAGTTAACCCACAGTGAGCTGACAGGAGAACATTCAGGAAAGATTGTTTATATCATTATTTGAATTTTGTATATGTATTCATTTATTGATCGTATTATATTATTTATCAGCTACAATATTATAAAATGAAGTGGTTCCTGAGGAAGCTCTCTCTGGGCAAAATGAGTAGATCCATCTGCTCTTCGTTTTTCTTGATCTGAAGCATACTGTATGTACCCTTTGTACTGTAGCTGGTATTAAATGGTTTTACATATTGAGTTACAATAATTGTTTTTAATCTGTATAATAAAAAGAGTTTTTTATATTTATATTCCTGTTTTGCTGCGTTTGAGAGCACCTTAAAAATCCCCATTTTCCATGGCCTCCCCCCTTCTTTTTTGGGGTTGGGATGTTATGGAAATGTTTCTATCAGGTTGAATAATAGTCATGGACTCGCATGTGAATGTTGTGTTAATTTTTCGGTGTAAAACTATAATAAAAATTATAACTTGTAAAAAAAAGTTTCTAATTTTCAATAAACTTAATCTGAATGTTGGTTTTTCGGAAAACAAATTTGTCTCTATGAAGTATGAAGAAGGTGGTGTGTGCTTCACATGTTCTACCGATGGAAAAATTACTATAAATCAACCATTCCCTTTAGACCCCCCTACTCCCCTCAATTCCTTTTAAGCCATATGACACTTGAATAACAGCTGAATCTGTCACATAATAAAAATTCTCATTACTTATAAAATGAAATATGAATGTTAGTACATGACAGATGAAAAAATGGGCTGATTTACTGCAGGAAAAGGCCTGAAGAAAGCCTTCATGATTCTGTTTCAATCCCAACTGGAATGGACAAGTAATCCTAGCATCATAATTGAGGCATTAGTGACAGTGGGTGCTGACAACTCAACCCCAGCTCTCTTCTGTGTTTTTTTTTTTTTTTAATATCTGCCGCCGCCAGATATTATAATCTTTACTCTGTGATGACAGACTTGGCTATCTAGCTATTCAGCTCTTACATTTTATCCTTCAATTTGTTTGTCATCTTCTTTCTGTAATGTACACGATGGCATCATGTGTTCAGATCAATCAATCTAAACTATGTAGGTACCTATCTGTGCATCCAATCTATGCCAAACCTTTACAGAATGGTGGAATATTATCTACAATAAGGAATAAAATGCCTCGTGTATGCTGTTCTAATATCCAGGCCAATGCACCTACTATGCCAATTGTTGTGTAGTTTGTAGTCTCAAGGCTTTATACAACCGCATGGCTAATAAAAATTAGAACACCCTAAATAACCACATTCCTACCGCGCTAAAGCCGAATGACGGCTACACGCGGTCGTCCCGTTCTGGGAGGGTGTCATATGACATGCCCATCAGTGTAGCATCATCAGTGCCTCCTCATCAATGCCCACCAGTGCCGCCTCATCAGTGCAGCCTCATCAATGCACACCAGTGAAGAACAAAAATTACCTGTTTGCAAAATTTTATAATAGAAACAAAGAAAACTTTTTAAAAAAAATTTCTCTCTTTTTTGTTTATAATGCAAAAAATAAAAATCCCAGTGGTGATTAAATACCACCAAAAGAAAGCTCTATTTGTGTGAAAAAAAGATACAAATTTCATAATGGTACAGTGTTGCATGGCCGCGCAATCATCATTCAAAGTGCAACACCGCTGAAAGCTGAAAATTGGCCTGGGCATGAGGTAAAAGTGCCCAGTAGGCAAGTGGATAAAGCAAGGTTAAGAATGAAATCTTCAATGCAATAGGCTCAATTCACTGATTATTGCTACATTTCAATGCATTTTGCATTTTCATCACTATGCATTAGTTATAAATAGAAAGAAATAAAAGTGAGCGCTATCCAATCAGCAGCTGAACACTCAAGGTAACCAAAAATAAAACCTTATCATGAACATAAAAATAGTAAAGTGCAGCACTACAATTAATAGTAGTACGATAAATTTCCCACATAAAAAGCAATATATATACAGAAAATAGTAATAATAGTAATTGCGTAAAAGTTCAGGGTGAGTGACAGTCTATGTGGATTTAAGGTGCAAATTGATCATAAAATCCAGTGGTGGTGCTCCAAACAGTATGATAAAATTACACACTCACCAGATGCGTAATTTGAATACGCATTAAATGTAGCATCATAGGTCTCCTTAGTGGATATGTGTCTGGTCAGGGGTGTGGATAATCCTCCCTCAGGGTAATGGAGTTATAAGCCCAGCAAAGGGAAAGTGGATCCAAGTAGCCAGAGGTCCCTTTAAGGGATGAGTAGGTGAGGAGGCCTGCTTACAGGGAACTCCCTTCTCTGGATTCAAAGGATGGATGGATGACTGGATCAAAAACGGGCTCTGTAAAAAAAGTGCTCCTCAAGGGAGACCATGACGGGTGCCCATAGTGTAGTATTTAGAAATAATTTATTAAGGTCAAAAGCAGGTGTTTGCAAACATAAAAAAATCGATAAAACACAATATGACAGCGAGTACCCAAATTTGAGATGACTAACCCTCCAGAAACTAAGATGGCCGCCGGGCCTCCACGTGGCACCGGCAGAGTGACGTCACGATGTTCTGGCTCCTTCTAACGCGTTCGTGTGCACACACTTCTTCAGAGGCGGATAACATTAGTTAGTTACTTTTGTGTTTTAGGAATGTAAATGTATTTTTAAAGCTCAGTTCTGGGAGGTCTGAAAAATCCCCCATGTAGTGGGACTATGCCTGCACTTCATGAGTTAACTGCTCATTTAGTCTAGAGGAGAGTAAAAACACTTTGACTTACCTGATCCCCAGCAGACAGTGCTTCGACATGCTGCGATGGTGGACTGTCCCTCGGCATCATCACATCCAGTGCATGGATATGGACCCTGCATTGGTCTTGGTGGCATCAGCACCTGCACAGTATCCTTGTTTTCCCCTCTCTGTCAGAACTGGGGTCACATTAGCTGAGTGACAGAGAGAAAATGAGGAAGATCAGAAACAATAGTCTGTACTCATTTGCAAAGATGAAGGAATAAATCACCTGTAATGTTGGCTGGCTATGTGTGTGAATGCTCCTGCGATATTGAAAACTATTACTTTGCTTTTTTTACTTTTTAGAATGGGGTGTTCCGAGATTGTGCATAATTTTAAAGGGTGCCTGCTCTGAAAAAAGATGGAGAAGCACTGGTATAGAAAACTGCACTTTCCAGAGTGGGCCATTGAGCAGTGTTGGTGCAGTTTGGATGGGCTTTTTATTGCCCTGCATAATGTCCTGTCTAAACCTTTCTGATGGAGATTATATTCAAATGTTGTGATTTAGAGCGCATTTACATGTGTTTCACCCTCCAAAGAGCGATCCGCAAAGAAACACTTTTCAGAAGGCATTTGACAGGCAGTTATTCGCTTCCTTACGACTTGTTTTAACAGCTAAAAAACTGCACCACCTCTGGTTGTAGGATGGCCTGTTACAGTAGAATGGGTTGCATTGTGAAAGGGGTATAATTCTTCCTACTCCACTATCCAAAGCAATGCTGCAGCAGTATTTGTGCACCCCCATTTGTTGCCATTGCAGCTTAAACGGGAAAGGGGGGCTCGGTAATGTTTTTACCATCCCCCCAACTGCAAGTGTAAACAGCCTAACAATATTTTAAAAGTTTTCTTCTGTTCATGAACAATACTAAAATGATATATAAAGCTATAAAAATTATAAAGTCATGAGAACTTATAATAGAGGGGACAAAATACAGGTGAAACTCGACAAATTAGAATATCGTGCAAAAGTTCATTAAGTGTTCTTGCATGGCAAGACCACTTACTGTTATCTCACATATATACCGTATATACTCGAGTATAAGCCGAATTTTTCAGCACATTTGTTGTGCTGAAAAACGGCCCCCTCGGCTTATACTCGAGTCAACGTCTGCAGATGTCTAGCAGGGGGCGCTGCTTCTAAAGCAGCGATTCTCAACCTGTGAGTCGCGACCCCTTTGGGGGGTCGAACGACACTTTCACAGGGGTCGCCTAAGACCATCGGAAAACACATATTTCCGATTGCCTTAGGAACCGAGACACCGCTCCTCTATCCGTCTCCAGGTGTGGGCGGGATGACATGCCGTCCCTGTCATCTGGACACACCCCCGGGATCAATCCTCGCCGGTGATTGGCCGCCGGAACTGTAGCTCAGGAGAGGCACACAGGCGCCCAATCACCGGCGAGGAGGTGGAGCTTGGAGAGGAGGAGCCGAGCGGCACCGCGAAGATCGAGCGAGTGAAGAGGAGGAGAGCGGCCGGAGAAGGAAGACATCTGACCGGTAAGTGTGTACCATGGGAGAGGGAGGGAGCGAGCGAGCCCAGGCTGGAGCAGGGGTCAGCAAGGTAAGTATCATTGGTGTCAGTGGGAGGAATAGTGCCCAATCATTGGTGTCACTAATACCAACGATGGGGCACTATTCCTCCCCCCTCTGACACCAACGATGGGGCACTATTCCTCCCCCCCCCACTGACACCAACGATGGAGCACTATTCCTCCCCC